TTGAAATGTTGACAGTGGCATACTGTGATTGTACTCAGAGTCAGGAAAATGTTTACAAGTGGTACTTTTTACAGTAGGTCTTGAAGATGTGAATGACGCCGCTCGCTCAGAATTCCCCAGCACATCAACAACCGATGGAAATGTTGAGAAAGTGAAGAAATTTGTTATAGAAAAATCATCAAATCACTATCAGAGGAGTATCTGAGGATGTTGGCGTATCGGTGCCTTGAGAATAGCCCAAGGGAGCCGAAACCAAAAAAATCACGTCAAGTTCGATCAAATGTCAAGGTTCTGCTAAATGTTTTCTTCGATTACCGTGGCTGAGTGCATTAGGAGTTCTTCCCACATCGTCGTACGATCAATAAGAAGTCATATATTGAAGTTATGCATCGTCTGCGAGAAGCAATACGAAGAAAACGTCCGGTATTGTGGAAAAACAATTCACTGATTTTGCATTAGGATAATGCACGTGCCCACTCGCCATTACTTGTTCGTGTTTTTTTTTGCTAAAAACAACACCGTTATCATACCTAGCCACCGTATTCACCAGATTTGGCCTCCTGCGACTTTTTCCTATTCTCAAGATTGAAGAGACCCTTGAAAGGACAGCGTTTTGCGATGATTGAGTAGATGAAATGCGAATCGCTGTGTGAGACCCAAGGACATTTCAAAAAGTGCTTCGAGGATTGGGGATAAAATAGAAATTGATGAATAAATGAATATTGGATACATTAAAAACATTTAAATTCATTTTATTTTTTACACAGCGTACATAAATTTATAGCTTGAAAAGATTTTTTGGGATGATTTATATTACTTCATAAATATTATAGAACGAAGTCCCCCAGTCGCCTCAGTCTGTCTGAACGCAATTAATTCAAAAGCTATCAAAAATATTTTCATACGGTTTTCAGTTATAGTCGAAGTGACTCAAGAAAAAGGTTCATGTGAAATAGTTCATTGATGTTTTGTGTAAATATGACGATGTTATCCATTAGTAGTTGGCAGAAAGAGAAGTGTTACCCGTCTGAAGCAAAAGAACGTGATCCCTTTCAGAGATAAAACAATCATTCACTATAGGTATAAGGTCTACAGACAAGTCTACGATGTCATATGTCTATCTTTGAGTAATAGCTTACTAAAAACATTTTAGTATTTGAAAAAATGGTCACATACAGCGATTTGTGTCACATTGAGTTATAAGTTTGTGATAAGGAAGTGTAGTTATCAAAACATGTTTTGTATAAAAGTTTTAGATAGCAATGCATTCGGCTTTCTTGAAATATTTTTCAATATGCAAGGTACCTAGTAGATGCATGTCGTATCAAAGTAGGTTTTTTTTATTGGAATGACATATACGGCTTCAGAAATTCAGATTCCATCAGAAAAGTACTTGTAGTCTAATCAACAAGTTCAAAAACATGAAAAATAGAGATGAAGGTCCTAAAAATATGAGCGATAGCTCATTCGATTCGGAATCACCTCTAGAAAAATGTTTTTGAAGGATTTTGGTGCAGGTAAAAAATTGCAATAGTTATTAACAAAATGAGATTAAACAAAACTGGAATTTACTTTTTCGTTAAT